TATTGCCTTGATATTTTATATAGTTTATAAAAGTTTTGTTTGCAATAAAGTAATAAAAAAATGAATTGCGTAGCTCACATACTTTTGTCGTTACAGCATGCTGAAAACCATACGTTTTACACTTTTACTGCGTGCACGAAAATGCAGATATTAGAATGGCCATATCTCAGCAACCAACCACCCAAAAATAAAAATTTAAGTACCATTCTCTTAGTTTTCATGCCCTCTATCTGGTGAGATGAACAAATATGTTGTAAAAAAAACTTTTAAAAATTGTTGCCGGTACCTAATTTAATCAACCATAAAAAATAAATACAAAAATCCATCACATAAAAGCTATGTTGAATGCCACCATGATTCTCTTACCTGATTCCACTTGATTCTCCCGATGAAGAGCTAACCAACTCGAATGTTTCTAAATCCCAAAACTTGACAGTTCTACAAAGAAAACAGTGTCAAAGTATCAATAATTACAATTGATTGTTTAGGCTATTAACCCATTATCCTGTTGATACAATGAGTGGCAACAGTAGAATCACTGGTACTGTACAGCTGATAAGAAATTATTATTATCATTATTATCATTATTATTATTTCTATTATTATTAGTATTAATGTCGATGCTAGAAAAATAAATTAGTGAGAATTTTCATGATAATGTTTGGTATTATCCTTCAGAATAAACTTTTTACTTGTGAATTAATATTGGGAAGAAAAACCAACAGTTTAGGGTTAATGTTGGAATATAGGCCTAGTCCTTTACTTTTGGATTAACATTATGAATACAGTTCTTTTTAGAAAGGCTGTATTCATATTTACTTAGATTATAACAGTGTGACTACAATTTTTATTTTCATTTTTTATTTATTTTTTTAAAATTTACTTACTACAAACAAACAATCCTTTACTTTGTGATTAAAGAATTTTCCAGACTTTCAAATTTGATTTGACAAAAACATGTGACATGCCTAAATATGGTCATGATGACATCACACCATGACCATATATAGGCACATCATCATGAAATATGGGCATATTACAACAGTTTAAGATTAATAATAGGAATATATATATATATATATTCTTTACTTTGAGGTTAACCTTGTTTTTGTCTATCTTAAGCTGATGTTAAATAGTTGCCTGTGCTTTTAAATACCTTATTCTTAGCTTTGAACACTTTGACAGTTTTAATACTGTATACACTATCTTTTATTGCATAGATTTTTATTACATCCGCCATGGATGTCTTGTACTCATCACCGTATATGTATGTGTCTGTTTTTTTTTATTAGCAGGATTATGGAAAAACTAATGAATGGATCATCAGAAAATTTAGTGAAGAGGTACTACGAAAATTTTTATTAAATTTGGGGGTGAAAATATCAAAAGTAATGGTTGAAGTCCTAAAAATTTGAAAGAAAATCACAAATATAAAGTACTCCATGACATAGTCTTACGTTAACTCACCTATCATTACTCGCTGTTGAGAAGAGGAATTCATTAGGGTGGAACTCTACGCAGTTGACAGCCGCTGTATGACCTTGAAAATCATGAAGAAGCTTCCCAGCTGTCAGATCCCACAACTAAGAAAAACAAAATGTTTGAAAATATTAAATTTTTGCCCAAGAAGGCTGACCTGTTTAATTTTTTTTTAAGATTTAGGGTCAGTCTATTTTTGGCAACAGAAAAAAATTAAATATACTACAGTAGATCTAGTCTTTAGTACAAAGTGCCAATAGAACACCTTGGTTATTAATCTAACATACTGTATAGTAATATATTTATACAGTATATATATATATTATAATATGAAATAAATAAAATGAAATTTATTGTGGGTGCCCTTATTTCAACACGAAAGTTTACCTTAGCAAGACCATCATCCGAAGCGGAAGCAATCCACCGTCCATCAGGACTGAACCTGATGCTGTTCACGCACCCAGTGTGTCCCTTGTAAGTAAATATGCAACCTTTCCTTCTAACATCCCATAGCTGTAAAAAGACAGATCATTTTAATTCATAAAAGTAAATAAAATAATAACTAAATAAACTTATATACCTACTTATATAAACCTATAGGCTATATTTAGTACAAAAAAAACAATCCTCAAACATTTACGATAATATTTTATTTCTCATAAAAAGAACCGTCGTATATTAAGTTGGCAATGAACACACTTTTTTATCCAAGTTTCCGATAAACAGAAAAAAAAAAATCACTTTTAGATTTACTGTACAGTAATTTTATTGTTCAATTTAATAACAACTCAACATAGACTACTGAATATTTAATGAGTGCAAGTGAAATAATAATTTCAGGGAATTGATTAATATGAATGCATTGTATTACTGGTAACATTTATCAATTGAAATTCATACCAACATATTCACATTAAACACACAATTGTCTAAAAAGCACAATGACATTTGGAAATCAGATAGGGTCAGTCGAAAATTTAGCTGTTTTCTTTAACTTTTTAAAAAACTTTTGGTATACAATAGGATTCACTGCCAACCATTATTCATTCCATATATTTGGCATTGTATAGTAAACACAGGGCTAAAATCCTTACTTAACAACCCATTTTTTTCAGTATTAAAGATTTAAAAATGGCAATTTTTCAAAAATCAAACAAGCATATTTTGGCTGCTTCTTGGTCAGAAAATATATTATATTTCAGCAACTAGATTTTTGAGATCTTGGGTGGATTAGGCATGAGTTAAACTGAAAGGGTTTTTTTTGTCTTCTCTGGTTAAGTGATCAGTTGATAAATTCATACATGTATGTATATTCACACATATCATGAAGACGATCAATTGATATTTTCACACATAATCTGGGTTGCATTTGCTGAAAGAGGTCATAGATGGTCTTAATGGTTAGCCGGCTATAAATGTGACGTAGATAGACTACCAATCTATAATTAGAAACCATTGCTATACAGTAAAACTGTCAGTTTATAATACATAGCTGGCTATATTTCTGAAGCATGAGAAAGTTATAAATTGGTCTGCAAAAAACATTTCTTTTTTTAAAGTACAATATAATTTTGTCTAAAAAGTGACTGATGTGGCTTCCTTCTTTGCATTTTTAAATTAAAATGAAAACCCAATAACAAATGACCTACTTAAGTTACAGTAACTAATCACTTGCAAAAAAAAAATAAACAAAATGCTTAAAAACCTTTTTCTTCAATAGTTTTGCAATGAACTTTAGGTATAAAATGTACTTGACACAATGGGCGTATACGACTGGTTCATGTCGTTGACTACGAATTTTCCTTGAGTATTATTTTCATTCAACTGGTTCGTAAAATAGACTTCATTGACAACGAAAATTAACGTTTACCAGAGTGCGTTAATATGCGTTAAGTTATCCATGTGACCAAAACATGGCCGATTGGTCAGTTTAGAAACAACATTTACAATAATATAATTTATATTAAATTTCAGAAAATAAAAATTATAATATTTACCCACATGAAGTCAAAAAATATTTGTAGCCTATACAGAATTCAAATACTGGATGAAAACATTTCTTTTACAAAAAATCTATACTGCGAAAATCCGAAGCAACCTTGACTATGCTGCGTGTATATCGCGGAAACTATGCACCCATTTTGTTTTGTCAAGTATTTAGAAGCTTTCTATTCGACTGGTCGTCTTCGTTAAGTAGGAACTTACCACTGCACAGGTGGGCGTGGTTTTTAACGAAGAACAACCAGTCGAATACAGCCATTGACAAAAACATACTGTAAACAAATACTGTACACCATAAAAAAACCACAGTTTTGCTATGGCTAATTGTTTGCCTATATGATATTAGCCGAGACTGTTTTCTGGCAATAGTGTGTGTGAGGTGATTATAAGACCATCTCTGTGCTAGCCGGCTATATTCGACGGACCAGTTATAACGTAGGACCTTTTATATCAATCAATTGATAAATTCATTTAGTGTATGGCCAATCCTAGTCAGGTGATCAATCAATATTATTTGTAATGTGATATTTCATGCTATATTTATCTAGACATTGATCGATTTAATGAATGTATTCAGAAGAATGTAGAATTTTGTGTCAGTGTGTATACAAAACTATGTCAAACTGATGTACTGTACGTGCGACTTTGGTTTCACACATTGGGTGAACTTTGTACAAGTTTGGGTGTGTACACACTGTATGATTTGACCATATGAGTATTTTATGTAAATGACTGCGAATGAAAGCACACTTTACATACAGTGTAAAGGTTGAAAGGTTAAAGGTTATGTATTTTCACCACGGAAAATATGTGCGTAATTGGAAAAACAAGGAAAAAAACTTCAAGCCAGCACCTAAACCAAAGTATGGGGATACGCCCTCTTCCCTGAGCGGGGATATATCAAAACGTACTGTACAGTGGCCAGGCCATCCCAGTACTTAGGACATTGGCAAGAATACACAACTTGTTTTCTAGAATTATCTGTGATGATCTACGATCAATAATTATGTACATGATATGTAGAGTGTCAGTTATATATTAAGAATCTGACTGGCTGGGGAGACAATGGTCTTGAAGTCTAGCATAATATAAAGGTGCTGACTCAAATGATGAGTCACTCTGTGAAGCAACCTGGAATATGGGGTAACTGATGCTTACACAAATTGAATACATTAATATGCTGTCTCAGATGAATCATCTAGGACACAATTTATTATTCATACATTTCTTTTTTCTCAACTATTCACATTGCTTTACTTAAATAATAACAAAAACTATTAACCAGGGAATATTTTCACTCCATCCAAACCAAAATAAAATTTACCAATGAAAACATTACAAATAGAATTATAAAGAAATATATATATATATATGTGTTCAAAAAACAGTATTATTATTATTACTATTATTATTATTATATAATTATTATCATTTTTATTATTAATATTATCATTATTACTAATATTATATTCATTATTATTATTATTTTTATTATTATTAATTTTATTATTATTTTTATTATAGTGCACCCTCCAATTCGAGGCCCTCTTCGAGACCACTTTTTCAAAGAACAAACAATCTTCAATCACAAAGCTAATTCTCTATTAGAGTGAATGCCAGGATCACCCCAAATTTTCAGGTCCCGAAGTGGTCTCGAATTGGAGGACGAACTGTATTATTATCACATTTACCTTTAAATTTGTGTCCATTGATCCTGATGCAACAAAATCTCCATAAGGGTGGAAATCCAAACTCTTGATGTTGCATTTGTGTCCTGTTAGTGTCCTCACAACTATCGAGAAAATCACAAAATACAAATTTTTTATGTCAAATGTAATGTATAACTATACATTGGTTTTTGTTTACTACTTTACAGTACACAAACAGTTCTCAAACAGTTTGGCTGAAATGTTTATATGATACTTGGAATGTGCTTTCTTAGTAAGTCTGCAAATTTTAGCATACTGTATTATAAAATTCAATATTTTCCTACATCCTAATAAATCTTGTGACCTTCAAATTCATTTGGCAAAACCCAATTTTGGGTTGTGACCCATAGTTTTTTGAACCACTGTTTTATATTGTAGTGATGATACAAGAAAATAGAAATAGCATTGTTAAAGAGTCATGAGAATAACAAAATGGAAATTTCTTATTCTAGTGTTCTTGTAAATTACCACATATATACTTTACTCAACAATTGCATGCATATTCTAAATTATGATGCAAGGAAATTTAGTAAAAAGACTAGCATAGACATTTATCTCTCACATGCTACATGTAGCAAGTAATCTACCTTTGCTATGTGACAATTAAATTATTCTGGCGGTAATTCACACCATGATGCTACATAATAATACTATTACTACCTAGTAACTTTTACACCATGGGTTTAATCATACTAATTATAACTATCATTAACATACCAATATGTTGGTGCTATGGTATAATATGATGCTACTTTTGAGAAAATATGTTTTAATGCTACATGATATCAATCAGCAGTGCTACTGTATCAACATTCTGAAATGCTACAGTATTGATTAAGTGCATGTAGGTCATTTACTACCATCCTAATTTAAAATTACAACATATAATAGCCAATTATTGAGAACACAAACTGGGTACCATGTAAATCTGAATCAAATGCAATTCTCAGTGGCTTTTTAAAATAATATTATTACAGTATATGACAGTAAATCGCTTTGCATCCAATCATTGTATTCATTGAAAATTCACCTTTCCTTGACCTCAGAGCATATAACACCATAATGGCTCATTGAATCATATACAAACCTTTTGGAAATTTTCTAAAAAAATATAGTCACAGTAACCATGGCGCTAACACACAGATTAAATTCAGACAGTAACAAGGATGCTTTGAGTAAATTGTACACAAATAATTCATATTGAGCATGAGTATTATTAGTCAGTAAACCCACCTTGAGTATAAACACCTACTATACATTCAATTTTATGTACAGTATTCCCCTGGGCATGGCAGACTTACACTCTTTTTTTGAAAATAAGAACCAGTAAAATTTTGCCCAATTTTGTTCTTATTTTTTTTGCCAATTTCAGGCTCAAAATTTTCTTATTTTGTTCTTAATTTTTTTTTTTACAAAATTGTACACCAGTATAGTATATTACTGTACTGTATTATAGAGGGTATTACATAGTCACATCAAATGCAAATAAGGTATGGAAAGATATGTTGTTTTTTTTTTGACATTTTACTTTAGCCTTTAATTTGTTCTTATTTTGTTCTTAATTTTTTGGCAATTTCAGCCTCAATGTTCTTACAAAATGTGTTCTTAAAAAAACAGTGTACCTGACGAACAATAAAATCCTGCTGACTTTTAAAATAAACTTTTAGCAAAAAAAGCTAGGGGAGGGAGCGTAATGGGAATGTATACGGTGGTTGTTGGAAATATTAATGATAGAGTCAGGGATGTAGTATGGTGGGCGGGGCTACCCAACCTTGAAGTTTTCCATTCATTCTAAAGCTAATTTCATGTTCCTCTACCTACCTTTATTATTCCCCATGCCCATACTTAACTCTTGTTTCAGTTTACAAATGTTATCACCCACCCACCCTCAAAATGTCTATATCCTCGTCCACCCACCCTTAGTAATAGCTACAACCCTATAGAGTAGACAAGTTGTACATTAGTACTGTAGTAGTTTGGATGTCACCTTGAGAGTATTTTAAGCACATTTGCACAACTGGCATGTGCTTTATTGTCTCTACTAATTCATCAATGAAGTTCCACTCACCATATGTTCAGTGATGAGACAGTGATACACATCGCACTATTACAACAGATTAGCAAATACTTTACAGTAGAGCAACGCAATTTTAATTACCTAATTTGACCCAATACACTGTCTACACTACCATTTTTTGTGGTAAATGTCTATGATTTGGACATATAATATAAGCATTTTGATGTCATGTCAACTAAGAATTACCCAACGAAGAACAGTTCTTTGGTTTTCCTAGCGCGGTATTGATTCTGTGCTAAAGAACTTTTCTTTATTATGACGCTAAAACAGAATGGTTCTATTTCGGGGACCCAATTTCTACTGCCACAAAGAAGGCCGTTCTTTAAAAAGAATGGTTCTAATGCTTCTTTCTCATCAGTAAAAATAATGATTAATATGTTGACTTATATGGTGCAGTTAAATAAGGTCTCTAAACGCCATAAAACAGGTGCCGAGCTTTAGATGCACAGTGGTGTATCTAGGAGTCTTGGGGGGAGGTAGCCTGGGTTCCAGGCCCTAATTTTAGGTTACTCACTCTTTATTGCACTTAGTGCGCGCCATACCTAATTTAATTGGCGTCCCATACTCGATTTCTTTTTTTTCGAATTAGGGCCTG